TGTGTGTGTGTGTGTGTGTGTGTGTGTGTGTGTGTGTGTGTGTATCCGTGTATGGGCGTGTCTGTGGGTGCATGCGCATGTGTGCACAGGAGTGTGGAGGTCAGCCTTAGGAATGCCCCTTGTCCCCAGGCGCTGTCCACCTTGTGTTAGAGACAGGACTCTTGCTGTAGTGGAGCTCACTGATTAGGCTCTAGGCAGGTGAGCGAGCCCCAGGCATCTGCAGGTCTGGCACCTCCAACACTGGATTATAAGTAGTATCACCAAGCCTGGCGTTTTAAAATCTGAGCTGGGACTTGAACTCAAGACCTCATACTTGAGTGGCATGTGCTTTACCAGCCCAGCTACCTCCCCTGCCCCTGAATGTTGTGAGGAGCAGGAATCTCGAGGCCCATGCTGACTGTCTGTCTGTTCTCCGCCTCAGGTAATTTGCTTGTGGTGAGTCTGGCCTTGGCTGACTTGGCCTTGTACCCTTACCCGCTGATCCTCGCTGCCGTTATCTACGATGGCTGGGTGCTGGGCGAGGTGCGCTGCAAGGCCAGCGCCTTTGTGATGGGCCTGAGTGTCATCGGCTCAGTCTTGAGCATCACAGCCATCGCCATCAACCGCTACTGCTGCATCTGCCACAACCCCGCACCCTACCACCGTGTCTGCACGCCCTGGCACGCCCCCGTCTACATCGGCCTCATCTGGGGCCTCACTCTGGCGGCCACAGTGCCCAACTTCGTGGGGTCCCTGGAGTACGACCCACGCATCTACTCCTGCACCTTCACCCAGACGGCCAGCGCCCAGTACACGGCGGCAGCGGTGGCCTTCGGCTACTGCGCATCTGGGCGCTGGTGCTGCGGGCCGCAGGAAGGCCGAGTCCAGGGCAAGCTGCGCCTGCGGCCTCCGACGTACAGAGCCGCCTCGCCACGATCGCAGTGCTCCTGGTCTTCGCCGTCTGCTGGGCCCCGCTCAACCACATCGGCCTGGCCATGGCCTTCAGCCCGAGGATGTGGCGCCCCGGGTCCCAGAGAGGCTCTTCGTCACCAGCTACTTCCTGGCCTACTTCAACAGCTGCCTCGACGCCATCATCTACGGGCTCCTGAACCAGAACTTTCGCCGGGAGTGCAAGAGGATCCTCTCCACGCTCCGCAGCCCTGGACGCTGCTTCAAGGGTGCTTCCAGCAGCTCCTATGTGGACATGCCACAAAACCCGGGGCTACCTGCTGCCTGCCCTTGCCTGGTCCTGGAGGGTGCTCTCTAGCCCTGCAGGAGGGTGCTGTCTACCTGCATGGCTGTCCAGGAGGGTGCTCTCTACCTGCACGGCCGTCCAGGAGGGTGCTCTCTACCTGCATGGCCGTCCAGGAGGGTGCTCTCTACCTGCACGGCCGTCCAGGAGGGTGTTCTCTACCTGCATGCCACACTGAGACCAGCAGCCTGCCAGTGCTCTCTACCTGCATGGCCGTCCAGGAGGGTGCTCTCTACCTGCACGGCCGTCCAGGAGGGTGCTCTCTACCTGCACGGCCGTCCAGGAGGGTGCTCTCTACCTGCACGGCCGTCCAGGAGGGTGCTCTCTACCTGCACGGCCGTCCAGGAGGGTGCTCTCTACCTGCACGGCCGTCCAGGAGGGTGCTCTCTAGCCTGTATGGGCAGAGCTGCAAACCTGTAAGGAGAAAGGCCACAGTGAGACCAGCAGCCTGCCAGACCACACCCACACAGTCACAACCCACAAATGGTAGAACCCATGTTGTATGGACAGCCTCCCGACGCCATGGGCACAAACCTGCAGACACTCTGGGTGGCATGTCGGAAAAGGGAGGGACAGCCCAGAGAAGGCAGAAAAGGCTGGAGCAGAAATCGAGTCCTACCCGGAGCTGTTCTTCTCCCTCTAGTCTTGACCTGTGGCTGATGCCTCCCCTTCGCTGGAGAGCCAGCAGAAGAGACCACTTCTGAGTAGCTGGGCCGATGACGGAGCAGAGACTGCAGTGAGAGGTTAGGCACTGCTGGGAACCAAGATGAGGACCGTGCACAGGGTCCTCCCACTAACCTCCACTACACAGTTACCACACTACATACGGGATCTTTACACTCCAGACACATGTACACCAAATACATGGCACACATCAAACACACACACACCACACGCACACATATATATATTAGACACCACACATTAGATACATACACCACACATACATATCACACACGTACACCAAACATATATACCAAATACACACCACATATCACACACATATACCCTACACACATATATACCAGACACACCACACATTAGACACATACACCACATACATACACACCACACATATATAGCATACATACACACACTTCACATATATAGCATACCTACATATACCACATACATACACTAAACATGCTTCATACCACACACATGTACACTAAACACACCACACATATACCACACACTGTATATACAAGCACCATATACCACAGATCACACATGTACCACATCACGCACAAGGACACCAGACACATGGACGCCAAACACCACACACATATACCATACACTGTATACATACACAGCATGCACACAACACATCACAGACATACACACCAAACATACCATATATACACCACACAACCCCACACATACACCTCACATCATATACCACAAATATTTATACATACATATATATATATATATGGAGTCTAGCTTCATTCTTTTACACATGCAGTGTTACAGTAACACTCGTTGAAGAGATGGTCCTTTCCCTATTTATCATCTTGGCATCTTTGTCAAATCTGGAATAAGAGGAAATCGCCTCACTTTACTGACACTGTATAACAGGTCCACATGTGACACACTCAACAGTGAAGGTCTGAAAGGTTTTCCTGTAAGATCAGCCACAGTGCGCTCACTTAGCAGGACATTAGACACCCCTCCGGAGCAATCAAGCAAGAAAAAAATAATAAAAGCCTCAAAATAGGAAAGATGGAAAATCAGCTCTTCACAGGTAACATTTGATGGATAAAAACATAAAAGCTTATGAGAAGTAAAGTAAATTATTAAACTAACGTGCCAAAGTTGAACTATATGGAAACCAGTGTGCAGAAATCAATTGCTTTCATAGACACCAACAACAATCTGAAACTAAAACCATGTGAACAGTTATATTTACAGAAGCACTGAAGATAAGGAAACATTCAAAAATAACCTTGACCCGGGAGATGAAAGACTTGTGCACTGAAAATTACAAAGCATTGTTGAAAAAAAGTTAACAGGACAAATAATGTGGCAGAAATTCCACATTCATGAACTGAAAAACTTGGTATTCTGTTATCCATACACTTAAAACAACATGAATATTTGATGCAATCCCCGTCAATATTTCATTGGCATTTTTTAACTCTTTTTAAACAGGGTACAATAATAATTTATTAAGGGGGATATTTGCATGTGTGGTCAGCATAGCAAGGGTTGTTGGGCATCCAGTGGCAGTAACAGTAGAGTTCCACCTACTTTAAATTTGAAGGGGAAGTCAAAGGATTATTATCTCCAGAGCTTGAAAAGAACTAGGGACTTGAATGAAGATCATCTGGATAGCAGTTGTGGACACTGTGAATGTCAGTCACGGCATGGATCCCAACCACACAGGGATATGATGTGAAATAGCTTCTGTGCCCCGACTTGCTGCGTGCTCATTCCACATACCAGCACTCTCCTGCCAAATCCCAACCAGAAGCTGGAATATAAAATAATTTACATTAGGCAGTGGTAGAAGTCTGCCTCCTATATTTGTAAAGACATTAGAAAAAGAGGCAGAGAATGACAGAGAATCACCAGAACCCAAGACGTAACAGACTTAGCATTCTTTGATCTGCCATTGTGGATTTGTAATCTGCCAACTTGATAAACTGAACTACATTTCCCAGCATTCTTCTGGTATGTTTCCATTTAGGGAACCTCAGAAGAGAGATTCTTTTGGGGAATATGTGCTGGAACTGCAAGTTCTGGTTTAGTTGAAAACAGAAAGGTCTTTTTTTTTTTAACTTTCACAAAAACTTTATTGAGAATTTCATACATGCATATAAGGTGTTTTGATCAATCAAATCCATGCCAACTCCCTCCCCTCCAACATTCTCCCCTCTGAAGAGGTAACCCTAAAATCTTTTAAGGATTAGATACAAGCTCCCTTAACATTTTTGGCCTTTGGAACAGAGTATGTTGCTAACAGGCCCGAGGACATTTTGACTCTTAGCCAAGAAACTGGCTATATTTCTTTGGGGTCTTTTTACCCTAATTGCATAGTGAACCACCTACTTCCTATTCTTATCACACCAACCTCTGAAGGTGTTACCCAAATTGCCAATAGGGAATAGGGACACAGACTGCTCTGGCTTCTTCCATGCTGAACAGGGACTCAGGGTGAGGCAATTGGAGTACCCCTTCAGTGGGTCTATCTAAAAGACTTCCAAATTATAACTCTTATCTGTAGGGGGCAAAGAAAGTCCTTGATTGGTGAATAGGAGATGTGAAGGAGAAATAAAGGCAAGAGTAATTAGCATTACAAGTTCCAGACAGGGAACTAGAAAAAAGTTCAAATGCTCATATGAGCGTCCATTGGAGTTTCTTGACAAGAGCTTCCAAAAGCATCCCTCTATTGGGTTCCTCCTCATTTTTCTTTTGTCTTCCAAGGCTGGACTAGTTGGCTGGGAAGAGTGGCTGGATACTCAGGTAAGGTTCCAGTGACCCTGCTTGGTACTCCTTTAATGAATGAGCACAACCGTCAACAAGCCAAATTGTGACTCTGTTTTTAAAAAAGACTTTATTGAGAATTTCATACATGCATATAAGGTGTTTTGATCAAATCCAGACCCACTCCCTCCCCTCCAACACCTCCCATAGCCCTCCATCACTTTTTTTTTTGTCAACTTCATGTACTCTTTCTTTCTTTCTTTTTTTGGTCTTTTTGAGACAGGGTCTCCCTGTAGCCCCAGCTGTCCTGGAACTCACCATGTAGACCAGGCTGGCCTTGAACTCACAGAGATCTGCCTGCCTCTGCGTCCTGAGTGTTGGGATTAAAGGTGTGCGCCACCATGCCTGGCTTCTTTTTTTTAAATGGTGCTTTTTGCTACTCTAACATTCCCCCCTCTGAAGAGGTAACTCTAAAATCTTTTAAGGATTATGTAAGAGCTCCCAAATACTTTGGACATTTTTGGCCTTTGGAACAGTATGTTGCTAAGAGGCCCAAGGACATTTTGACTTTTAGCTAAGAAACTGACTACTTTTTGGGGGGGTCTTTTTACCCTAACTGCTTAGCCAATTCCTACCTCCTATTCTTATCACACCATCCTCTGAAGGGGTTACCCAAATTGCCAATAGGGAATCGGGATGCAGACCGCTCTGGCTTCTTCCATGCTAAACAGCGACTCGAGGTGAGGCAACTGGGGTCCCCTTCAGTGGGTCTATCTAAAAGACTCCCAAATTGCATAACTCTTATCTGTAGGGAGAAAAGAAAGCCCTAGAACTAGAAAAAAAATATGAAAATTCATATAGAACCAAGATGTATCTTTCATAGCCAAAGAAATCTCAAAAAAGAAAGAGTGAAGCTTCATATTTTCTGATCTCAAAAGATATTAGATCAGTGTAATGTTGGTGTTAGGGATGATATAAAAATCAATAGAACAGAGTTAAGAGGTCAGACATAAGCCCAAGCTAGGGTCAACTGGTCTTCAACAAGGGCACCAACAATCCACAATGGAAATGGCCCTTTGCTGACCGCTATGCTGACTGCGTGACTAATTAGGATTTAGACAGGCCTGAGCACAGAGCGAGGCAGGCTTACCTAACGGTTCTTTCTTCTCTGTTCTTACCAAGGTGTGGGAGTAGTACACCAAATTCGGAGAGAGCTGTGAGAACGGCGGACTCCCGATGGGAGCACGTCGTGCCTGAACATGGTCTGCTGAGGTGAGGGACAGGCAACAGACCCTCCCAGACCTCCTTCATGGACAATTCTTCAACTGTGTCCAAAGAATGGGGCCGAGCAGTAGAAAAGGGAGAGGCTAGCAAAGCCCAGAACACCACAGTGGGGCCAGAGTAGAAACAGAACTCACCCAGATCCCGGAAGCAGGGCTAAGAGGCAGACAGGACATCCTCACGGTGGACAGAAACCGTGGCTGAACTACGAAGCCTGGAGCTGCCTCTGGGGTCTCAGCAGCATTTCCCCATCGCTGGAAAGCTTCGTTCCCACCTCTGAAGTGTTTGAACCTCAGGCTGCAGTGAAG